GAAGCCACCTGGACTGTGAATCTGTGCACAGGGGCTGTGCAGGGAAGGTGCTCCAATACACAGTACAGACAAGGTCACAAGCAGAAGGATAGTCAAGGTGTAGCCAAAGTCAGAGGATGCCAGAGGTCAGAATACACGAGGAGTAGCCGAAGTCAGAGGTCAGGATAAACGATGAGTGGAGCCAAGGTCAGAAGCATATTGTAAGTGATACAGGTCAGAGCAAACGGATTTAGCGGAAAAAAAAACCTCAACACAAGTGACATCAAGAGCTTACAAACTTTGACCTCCTTGATGAACTGGAGTGCTACAGATCAAACACGGAGGCTGCTGGCCTTGATGCCAAGATTGCACTTTAGAATGTTTTTTGTACATATGACTGTAAGAGTTTTTAACCGGATATAATCAATTAAAGCTTTGTCAGTATTACACCATTAGGAACTTTTGGGTTCTTTTCTTATGTCCAACTACTAGAGATTTCTGCATAGGGGAAGAAAATAATTAATCCACATCCATGGAATATTAAGCTGTTATTTGTGAAATGTGAGTGCATTATTATAAATATTTAACACTCTGAGTTATGTCATATGCGACAGTGCCACTTTAATGCACCATATTTGAAGTTAACTATACAGCACAGTATAGAAGTATTGCTATGAGTGCACAAGACTTAGTGTCAAGGTTGAAATGTTACATTCCATAGTTATTTTTTTGTCTGTCGTCCTCTTGGATCACAACCGATGGTTTATTTTTAAAAGCATTGTTAAAAACAGTGCTCCCTTGCTCCAAGAGTGCATGCAAGGTGAACTCTAAATCACTGTTTCTGCTCATTTGCATGTCAAGCTGAGAATTCTGGATAATTCTGGAAAAATATATATTATGTATGCAGGGTTTAACCCTTTAGTGACCAAGGACGTATCAGGTACTTCCGACAAAAAACGTTCCTTAAAATGTTTAACCCCTACTCTCCCTCACCATGTACTTACCGATCACCTCCATTCTCTCGCCGGCGATCGGTTTTCTTCTTAGGGGGGACATCAATTTAGGACCCCCAGGGGCCATGTGACCGCTCTAAAAGAGCGGTCAGATGGCCGCAATGGGTGTCCACAGTGCTGCCAGCATGGGGACAGCCTGAACTGAACTCCACCCTGGAGTTAAGTTAAAAAAATAAAAATAAAGTTAATACATTTAAAAAATATTTATATGTATATATGAAATATATATATATATATATTATATCTATATATAATATGTATATAAATATCATATATAACGTCATACTAAGTGTATTATTTTATTAAAATATACAAATTACACACATATATATGTATAATATACATACTAACTATATATTATATATATATGTGCTCCCTCGTGCGCCGGCCAGCCTGCCTGCCCGGTCATACCACTGGACCCCAGGGAATCCCCTCAGCACTCCCAAAGGTAAGGAAACTGGGGGGATTGAATTTTTAGAAAAAAACGTGTGTGTGTGTTAGAGTGTGTGTGTGTGTTAGAGTGTGTGTGTGTTAGAGTGTGTGTGTTAGTGTGTGTGTGTGTGTGTGTGTGTGTGTTAGTGAGTGTGTGTGTTAGTGTGTGAGTGTTAGAGTGTGTGTGTTAGAGTGTGTGTGTGTTAGTGTGTGTGTGTTAGTGTGTGTGTGTTAGAGTGTGTGTGTTAGTGTTAGAGTGTGTCAGTGAATGTGTCTGTTATTGGGTGTGTGTCTGCTAGTGAGTGTGTTACTGTGTGTGTCTGTTACTGAGTGTGTTTGATGTCTGTTAGTGAGTGTGTGTTTGTCAGTGAAAGTGTATGTATGTCTGTCGCTGAGTGTGTCTCTGTCAGTAAATGTGTGTGTCTGTTAGCTAGTGTGTATGCGTCTGTTCGTGAGAGTGTGTGTGTGTGTGTCTTAAGCACTTACCTTTCTCCAGCGCCAGACTCCCTTGGCGCTGGGGATCTCTCCGCCCCGATCCGCCTCTCAGCTCTGAATGCGCATGCGTGGCAAGAGCCACATGAGCATTCAAAACGCCCATAGGAAAGCATTACTCAATGCTTTCCTATGGACGTTCAGCGTCTTCTCACTGTGATTTTCACAGTGAGAATCGCAGAAGCTCCTCTAGCGGCTGTCAATGAGACAGCCACTATAGGCTGGATTAACCCTCAGTGAAACATAGCAGTTTCTCTGAAACTGCTATGTTTTCAGCTGCAGGGTTAAAACTAGAGGGACCTGGCACCCAGACCACTTCATTGAGCTGATGTGATCTGGGTGTCTGTAGTGGTCCTTTAAGTGTATGTGTATCTGCATGCACTGGCGTACAAACCGCGGTCCTATGGGTCGCAACACTTAGAATGAAATGATATATATATCTATGTATATCCCCTTAAAAAAACGGTTGTTAAGACGGTCGTTAAGGCAAATAGGAGGCCTGTACTGGCGATCTGCGGCGATCACGGTCGGTGGGGGGGGGGGACTCCCGGAGACCCCAGTCTCCCTGCAGCAGCTCCGGCCACCTCGGCCCTCCATGATCACCTCGCCGCAATAGGACTCTAGGAGCTGCCAGCAGGAAGACTGTCTGTGCGGTAAGGCATTCCCCCAGGCTGCTAAAAAGTAAAAAAAGAAACAAATCTGATATACATATATTATATATGTATAATATATTATAAAATAATTAAAGTATTTTAGATATATTATACATATATGATCAGTGGCGTACACATGACCCATGGGGCCCCAGTGCAAAAATTGATCCGTGGGCCCCCCCCCCCCGCACGCTTACTCAGCACGGGTCAGGGTCGCAACACATGGTGGCGGGCACCTGGTCGCAGGGGTTGCAGGGCTGTGACCCCGCGACCGCGGTATGCACACACACTTAAAGGACCACTACAGACACCCAGATCACATCAGCTCAATGAAGTGGTCTGGGTGCCAGGTCCCTCTAGTTTTAACCCTGCAGCTGAAAACATAGCCGTTTCAGAGAAATGGCTATGTTTCACTGAGGGTTAATCCAGCCTCTGGTGGCTGTCTCATTGACAGCTGCTAGAGGAGCTTCCGCGATTCTCACTGTGAAAATCACAGTGAGAAGACACTGAATGTCCATAGGAAAGCATTGAGTAATGCTTTCCTATGGGCGGTTTAAATGCACGCGCGCCTCTTGCCACGCATGTGCATTTCGGAGCTGAGTGGCAGACACTGGGGAGTCCGACGCTGGAGAAAGGTAAATGCTGAAGACACACACACTCTCACGAACAGACACATACACACTAGCTAACAGACACACACATTTACTGACACAGACACACTCAGCGACAGACATACATACACTTTCACTGACAAACACACACTCACTAACAGACATCAAACACACTCAGTAACAGACACACACAGTAACACACTCACTAGCAGACACACACCCAATAACAGACACATTCACTGACACACACACTAACACACGCACTAACACAAACACTGACACACTAACACACACACTAACACACGCACTAACACAAACAAACACTGACACACTAACACACACACTAACACACACACACACTAACACACACACACTCTAACACACACACATACACTAACACACACTAACACACACACATTTTTTTTTTCAAATTTAATCCCCCCAGCCTCCTTACCTTTTGGAGTGCTGGGGGGATTCCCTGGGGTCCAGTGGTGCTGCTGGGCTCCTGGTCACTGGGTGGGCGGGCTGCCAGGCCGGCCGGCGCGCAAGGGAGCACTTTCCCCTGTGTGCTCCCTCTTCAGCTCCCTCGCGCGCCGCGTAGGGATGCCGGCGCCGGAAGATGACGTCATCTTCCGGCTCAGGTATCAGTGCGGTGTGTGAGGGAGCTGAAGAGGGAGCACTGAGTGCTCCCACCAGCCCGACCGGCCACCTGCCCGCTGGGGTCAGCAGGGCCAGCCTCGGGGGGCCCTGGGGTGGTCGGCTCCTGAGCCCCCCAGGGGAAGAGGCTGGCCCTGGGCGTACATACCGGGTCGCAGGGGCGGCCGTGTCCCCTGGTGGGCCGGGCCCGGTCGCAACCGCGACACCTGCGACCCTGGTATGTACGCCACTGTATATGATGCATATATATGATTTCATTATAAGTGTACTTTGAGATATATACACATATATATATATATATATACACACACATGTATTTTATATACATATATATATATATATAATATAATAGTTAATACAATGCTAAACAAAAATCTGCACACCAGTCAAGCCATAAGACTTGCTTTTCCCACAGAAATCCCAAATCAGCAGTGATGTTACAACCGCAAAGGATTCTGGGTGGGCATATGCAAATTAGTTTAACAAAGAATCACATTTTTGCCTCATTCCATTTTAAACATGGATTCCTTTTAATTTGTGTTTGCAGTATACAACTGCTTGGAACACAATTTAGGATAAGATGCAAAACCAGTGAACCACTCATGGACAGCTGTTTCGTTGTTAATGCAACTCTTCAGCATGAGGTTGGTTACTGGTTTGCTTAGTGAGGCTTGGTAGTGCTTGGGAAGCAAAATCCAAAGAGGTTATGGTGGGGAAAAAATTGTGATTGAAAACCCCTTCCACCTGAAGTATGTGGATAGTTAATACAATGCTAAACATTGTATTAACTATCCACATACTTCAGGTGGAAGGGGTTTTCAATCACAATTTTTTCCCCACCATAACCTGAAGTATTAACTATCCACATACTTCAGTATTAACTATCCACATACTTCAGGTGGAAGGGGTTTTCAATCACAATTTTTTCCCCACCATAACCTATTTATAATATACCGTATATACTCGAGTATAAGCCGACTCGAATATAAGCCGAGGCCCCTAATTTTACCCCCAAAAACTGGGAAAATGTATTGACTCGAGTATAAGACTAGGGTGGGAAATGCAGCAGCTACTGGTAAATTTCTAAATAAAATTAGATCCTAAAAAAATTATATTAATTGAATATTTATTTACAGTGTGTGTATATGATGAATGTAGTGTGTGTGTATGAGTGCGCAGTGTGTGTGCATAAATGCAGTGTGTGTATGAGTGCGCAGTGTGTGTATGAGTGCAGTGTGTGTATGAGTGCGCAGTGTGTGTGCATAAATGCAGTGTGTGTATGAGTGCGCAGTGTGTGTATGAATGCAGTGTGTGTATGAATGCAGTGTGTGTGTGATCCAGTGTGTATGTGTGTGTTGCAGAGCCTTGGTGGGGGGGTGGGCATTTTTATTAAAAAAAATGTAATATTATTTTAATTTTTTTGTTATATTATTATTATTTTTTTATTATTTTTATTAATTCATTATTATTTATATATTATTATTTATCTATTTTTTCGTCCCCCCTCCCTGCTTGATACATGGCAGGGAGGGGGGCTCTCCTTCCCTGGTGGTCCAGTGGCATTGGCAGTTCAGTGGGGGGAGGAGGGGGCTGGCAGAGCTGTTACTTACCTCTCCTGCAGCTCCTGTCAGCTCTCTCCTCCTCCGCGCCGGTCCGTGCAGCTCTTCTCTCAGCTCCCAGTGTAAGTCTCGCGAGAGCCGCACTATGACCCCGCGGCTCTCGCGAGACTTACACTGGGAGCTGAACGAGGTGCTGACCGGACCGGCGCGGAGGAAGCTGGCAGGAGCTGCAGGAGAGGTAAGTAACAGCTCTGCCAGCCCCCAGTCTGTATTATGGCAATGTAAGTTGCCATAATACAGACTAACTCGAGTATAAGCCGAGTTGGGGTTTTTCAGCACAAAAAATGTGCTGAAAAACTCGGCTTATACTCGAGTATATACGGTAATATAAATTTAAAAAATTGAATAAATTAATAAAATTTTAAAAACAAATAAAAAACGCGAACTTTGGCCAGCGTTTGTGACTAAGTGGCTACTACAAAAGACTGGACATACCCCATTTTGAATACCCTGGGTTGTCTACATTTGAAAATGGTATGCCATGATGGGGTTATTTCACATTCCTGGCCTACCATATGGCCTCAAAAGGCAATACAGACCCAGCAAACCAATCTGGCAAACTGAATTGGGCAAGCCCTATATTGACCCTGTAACTTTCCAAAACACCATAAAACCTGTACATGGGGGGGAAACTTTGCTGAACACAAATATTAGTGTAAACTTATCACGACGATGAAATCACCAGTAAAAGTGAAGTTTTTGTGAAAAGAATGCAAAAAACAAATATGAACGCTAACTTTGGCAAACGTTTGTGGCTAAGTGGCTACCACGAAAGACTGGACATACCCCATTTTGAATACCGTGGGTTATCTACTTTTACAAATAGTATGGCATGATGCGGTTAATTTTCATTCCTGGGTTGCTATACGGTCTCAAAGGCAACATAGGCCCAGCAAACCAATCTGCCAAATTTCAATGTGCAAACATAGAAAAGGGTAAAGCCCTATATTTGACCCCTGTAAGTTTGCAAAAATCCATAAAACCTGTACATTGGGGGCACTGTTGTACTCGGGAGATGTTGCTGAAGACATATTGTGGTGTTCTTTGTCAGTTACACATAACAGGAACTGAGAATCCATGCCTAAAGTACAATGTGAGAGAAAAATAACACACAAAAAATGACTACCCAAAAGTTTGACAAAGACTGGTGGTAGAATTAGTGCATGGAAAGTGTTAAAATACCACTATTTGAAATAACCTAGGGTGTCTACTTTTCAAAAATATATGGTTTGATAGGGGTAAATTACATTGGCCGGCTTCAAAAATGTCTCAAATAGGACATGGGTGCATTATGACCAGCTGTGAAAATTCCAAGTTGGAAAACTGGAATGCGCACCCTCCAAATAAGGTATTTTAGCCCCCAGAGAACCCAACACACCTATACATGGGGGATATCACTGTATTCAGGAGATGTTGCTGAACACATATCAGGGTGTTTTTTGGCAGTAACCCTTAACGTTCTCTGTACATGTATTCTTAAATTGCTGTGTCAAAAAATCACCAATAGTTTTTTTATTTTGCATAGATTGGTGGTAAAATGGTTACATGAAAAGAGTCAACATACCCCAAGTTTAATAACTGAGGATATCTTCTTTTAAAAAATATATACATGTGAAGGGTTATTCAGGGATTCCTGACAGATATCAGTGTTACAATATAACATAGCGTTAATTTTGAAAAAAAAAAATGGTTTGAAATAGCAAAGTGCTACTTAGCCAAAAAAGCTAAGAACATGTTAACATTGGGCATTTCTAAACTCAGGACAAAATTTAGAAACTATTTAGGTGTTTTTTTGGCAGTTGTAGATGTGTAACAGATTTTGGGGGTCAGTTAGAAAACGAATGGTTTTTAAAAAAATTTCATCATATTTTATAATTTGTTTTTATAGTAAATTATATGATATGATGAAAATAATGGTATCTTCAGGAAATCCATTTAATGGCAAGAAAAACGGTAAATAATATGTGTGGGTACAGTAAATGAGTAAGGGGAAAATTACAGCTAAACACAAACATTGCAGAAATGTAAAAAGAGCCCTAGTCCTTAACGGTAAGAAAATTGAAAAAAGGACTGGTCACGAAGGGGTTAAAAACACTCTTATCACAAATTAGGCAGAACTGCTTTAAAATGTACAGGAAAGAGGTCCTTTAAATTTGGTATTGGGTAGGGTGTAGTTTCACACAGTGAAAATGGCACACTCTGTTTTCCAAATAGCCAGATAGGCATGTCTTTATTTTACATAAACAATATTTCATTGTTTAATGTAATATTTATTCTATAGGCATGACTTACATTGCGGTTTTTCCAGTTTCTAATCTCCTCTGCCTCCGTCATCAAAAGTGTGTGTCTTTTGCAAGTTTCTCACTAACCAAGACACTTCACAGCTACATTAAATGGGAACTATTACATCTGAGGATTTTTTATAAACATGTTTACTTATCACATAAACCTCTGTTAAAAAGACAACTGCAAAATTATCACTTTCTCTGGTTTTAGTATTTATAGATACATGTTTGAGTAAAATTAACAATTTATTCTACGAACTACTGACCACACTTCTCCCAAATTCCAAATAAAACCCTTGTCATATTAAGCATTTACTCACAGAAAATGATAACAGGGCAAAATAACAAAAAAAAGATGCAGTGCAGGAGCGGATCCGAGGGAGGGCACCAGAGCAAGTGCCATGCACCCCGAGAAGCCAAACAATGACTGATGCCAGCTCCTGACATCAAGGGGAATGAAGGAGAACTTGGTCTGTATTTCCAGGCCAAGTTCTCCGCGCCTTCTACTGTATTAGAGCTTTGCCACGGGTTATTGTGACTACACTCTGATACATTTCCCAGCGCCTGCCAGAAAGAGCTGTCTCCACCTGCCAGGGTTGCAGACAAATGGCATTTCCCATCGGACTACCAAGGATCAAGATTTCCCTCAGCCCCTTATCTACCCCACTACATCCTCTAAGCCTAAAGCACAGCTCCAGTACAGCTCCTAACGCCCCTTACTACAGCTACTAACCATTATTTCTACTAACCCCCACTACAACCTCCAATTCCTCACTTCTTGCCCTAACACTTCACTACTGCCTCTAACTCCACACGTCAGCCTCTAACCCTCCACTTCTGCCCCTAACCCACCAATATTTCCCCTAGCCCTAATTACGGACCAAAAATCCCCACTAGAGCTTTAAACCCTCCCATCACACTTCCTAATCCCTACTTCAGCCTCTAACCCCCATTTCAATTCCTAAACCCTAGTCCAGCCTCTAATCTCCCACTACTGCCCATAAACCACCAATACTGCCAGTAACCCTCACTACTGCTTCTAATCCCAACTACAGTTTATAACCCCTCCTCCTACCCCCACCCCCACTGCAATTCAAAACCCCTGAGGACTGTAGTGATTATTGTGCCTGGAGTGTTCCTCTAAATAATCTATAAGTGACCCTCTGGATCCACCCCTAATGCAGTGTTTTAAGTCCTCTAATAATGCAAATAGAACAAGTTCATATTAATTTTTAAACAACACAATACTAATGTTTTAATATAGAAATAGTTCAGAAATCACTATTTGGTGGAATAAGCCTGATTTTCAGTCACAGCTATCATGCATCTTGGCATGCGCTCAGCCAGTCTGTCACATTGTTATTGTGTGACTTAATGTCACTATTGGTGCAAAAATTCAAGCAGCTGGGCTTTGTTTGAGGGCTTGTGACCATCTATCGTTCTCTTGATCACATTGCAGAGGTTTTCAATAGGGTTCAGGTCTGGAGATTGGGATGGCTATGACATGCTTGATCTGGTGGTCTCCCATCCACACCTTGATTCACCTGGCAGAGTGGCGTGGAGCATTGTCCTGCTGGATAAAACAATCCTCAGAGTTGAGGAACATTGTCAGAGCTGAAGGAAGCAAGTTTTCTTCCAAAATAACATTGTACATTACTTAATTTGTACATTCAGCCTAGCTCAAGCATCCCCAGATCATTACCAATGCACTACCACATTTCACAGTGTGTTCGAGACACTTGTAGACCTCTCCAGGTTTCCATCTAAATATCAGATATCCAGGTGACAAAGCTGAAAATTTTACTCATCAAAGAACATGAACTTACTCCAGTCCCCTACAGTCCAATCCTTATGGTCTCTCAGCCTGGCTCTTCTTTGCTTCTTATTGATGAAGGGCTATTTTTCTAGCTTTGCATGATCATGTCAGGATTACTAGTTGATCCAGCACGTAGAATTGTGTCACACAGATGACTAATAGGTAACGTATTACCAGGCCTTAGAATGGCCGGTTTTAACGTACCAAAGAGTAATCAGGATACTTGCCGTGTTCAGGGGATACAGAAAGAGACACAATGATAAGGGAAAGCCAGAAGTCAGGGATGCCAGAATACAGGGAAGTCAAAATCAAAGCCAAAGTAAAAAAACAGAAGAAATTTGAATCAGGAACACGCTCTCGGACATCCACAAGGGAAACCACGACAGGGCACTGAGCAGGATGAGAACTGGGCCTAAATACCCCTCCTCTAGATCTGACGACCCCGAAGGCAGTTACCACGTTCCCATTTGCATAATTGCTGCTCAGCACTAACCCTCCTGTGGATTTGATTGTTGCTCGGCACGACTTTTCCTGTCAGAGCAGTAAATGTCATTAATCACATTTTTATATGCGGATGAATACGTGACAGATCAGACCTGCCAATAGCAACGTATTGCAAACCATGCTCACTGTGCACTTCTACCCAGCTGCAATTCTTTTTGTAGGTTACTTGATGATGCCATCCTACAGCATAGTT